ATGAGTTCGGATATGGGTTCGGTGACAGCGATAATGTTGGCCTGACTATCATCATTTAATATTTCATATTTCTGCAGATAATAAGCTCAATCTCACAACTTCGCGGAACGCAAACACTGCAGACCTCTCCAAGTACACGATCAGCGGCGAGTGGGAACTAGTTGGGGCACCTTTAAAGAGGAATGCTGTCAAGTATACTTGTTGTAAACATCCCTTCATCGACATAACATACACGATACACGTTAAGAGAAGGGTTCTCTTCTACATGATGAATCTGATTGTTCCGTACATCGTACTAGCTGTCTTGACAGTTTTCTCGTTTTACCTACCACCAGAGTCTGGGGAACGAATGGGTCTGGTAATTACAATACTACTAGGTCTGACCGTGTTCATGATGGTATTCACCGACAACGTGCCGCGCACTTCGGAAGTAACCCCGCTGATCGGTAAGTACTCGGTCACAGTCCTTGTTCAGGTCACTTTCGCGCTGCTTGTCACGTGCGGCGTTCTGAGAGTTTATCACAAAGATCCAGAGAGGAAGATGCCTGCCTGGTTCCGCAAGCTAATCTTTGACATCTTGGGGCCAATGCTGTTAGCCACGCCGTCTGATGAACGACAAAAGATGAAACAAGACGACAAGAACAAGAGCTATTACATGTCAAAAGTACAGGGAAATCCTTACGAGATTCATCGAAGCCAGAACCATCTTGTTGTGTCGATCCCAAAGATTACTGGCATGAAGGATGGCGAGGCGGAAACCGAGCGCAAATGTTTTCACACCTCACCCATGGGATCCAATTTGTCGCTGACACCCTCGGATGAACGCATGGAAGAGATTGTATACGGGATGCGCGCCATTGTATCTCATCTGAAAGACACTCAAGAGTCTGATGCGAAAATCAACGACTGGCATCACGCAGCAGCAGTACTAGACATTGCGTTTTTCTGGATAACGGCTATCACCATCTTAGGCTCCACCCTTGCCTTTTACTTCATGATTCCAAACTGATTTGTGACGTACATTGTGAGATCGCTAAAGAAGAACTCAGTGCACCTTTTTTTACGTATAATACTCCTCAAAAAGCAAACCAATGAACGTTTAATTGAACCTAGGGACGCTGGAATAAAAAATAAACAGGGGGGAGATGGGGGCAGTGGTTGCCAGTGGCGGATGCTGCTATGGAGGTCTAGTAACTGGAGCGAAAAGATCACCCCTAGACCTTAGGGTTTGGTCCTCCTTGGAGAACTAGTGTACCCAATCCTTCAGTAGTTAAAGCACTTGTTAATGCTATTGAATTAACGTTTCAGATATAAACCATGGTAAAAAAAAAAAAGTGAGGACTGAAGTTTTTGAACGTTCCTTTTGATAGAGTTTTATGTATATGAAAAAATATTGTAGGAGAACTTATTCTGGAAGGTGGCTCGAAAAACTTTCGATCTTTGTGCCTGGTGTATCACAGTCGTATCGAGCATCTATCTTTTAACGAAGTTCCAAGTCTGACAACTGGTTTTCGGAAGTTATTAGAATTACACGTTTTTTCGAAATAACAATAATTGGATTTGTTTGAAACTATAACGCTATCGCTAGACTCACCAGCGAGATTTTGTTTCGAGTAACTTAAATTGTAGATTTTGGCCATTAAGATCTTTTTTCAAAGAAACAAAGGGCAAGCTGTTATATGCAACCAGGAAAACAAAAACGTTTCCAAACTACGATATATATATTTTGGATTTATTAGAGTGGGAATTTTTTTCCCATATTTTGATAGTGCTTTCATTTGTTATCTCCAAAATTAGGGCCTCTTGGGGCGGAGTGGGTTGGGAGTGCTATTGTTTTGGGGTGCTACATAAAAGATGTTAAAGTGCTCCTACTCCCGAAAGACTGTTTGAAAAAAAGGTCTTTTTCTCCAAACCCTGAGACGCCCTGACAAATAGAGGTGAAAATCGAGTGAGTATATTTTGTCTAGTAAAGTTTAACTAATAAAGTTGACATAGCAAATATACAAACGAGTTTTAGTTGTTTACTTTCGAGCAGGATAAAATAATCTGATAAGAATAAGTAAGATGAATTAAGTGAGAGAGGAGAAAGGAAGGCAAGAAGGTATGAATTTAAAATCAACGATGAAAAGTGGTCTGAGGTTATAGTGAGACAAGCAATACAAACTGCTCCCAGCTCCCTTAGACAAAGTCGCAAGTATCGACCGGCTTAGGGAAAGAACGCGAGAGAACAGATATTGGAGAGCTTGTATTTTGTGCAGGCGTTTATAAACCATCATTTTGCTATGACACAACCTCATTGATGACCGATACTGTTAACTTTTTATTTCACCGAAAGGTAAACTCTTCCTAACCTAATTTCGTTCCTAGGGCTCCTACCCTGGGTGAGGGTGGGAAGAAGACGATAGATACCGGGAACGAGGTTCTTTATGACGCTCAAAGTGGCTAAAAATAATGCGAAGCAGCTCTCCTAAACACCAAAATACTACCTACTGAAATCATCTTTAAACAGAGATTGAAGATACGTACCGTATTTCAGTTATTAGAATTGAGTGTGGTATCTTTCTTAGGCCGTATTCACACAGTTAAGCCAGATAACTCCTAACAAGGCAAATTTGTTCACTAGTTAAACTGTGCCTTTTACACTAAATCCAAAACGGAGCTTTTCGAAAACGCCCCTAAAGATTAATGTTCTATAAACACCGGCTTTGCGTTTAAGTGTGGATACAAAACGTTTTTAAAACTATTCAATTTTTTTAAACAGGGATTGCAAGAACTTCTTCCGTAAGCGGCTGCCGATGGAGCGATTGTGTTCGAAAAGGGGTCGCAAGTATAAACACAAAAACGAGGACTTGCTTGCAGGCTCAACAGATGGCGGTAAAAAAAAAAATTCTCACGGGCGGCGCTAGAAAGTCAGGAACCGGCTTTCATTATATCCCCTGTTGAAAAATTGCTGACGAAACCGCTATTTGAAATTTTTTTTAGCGAGCCGAATAGCCTTTTCAGGTCGCCATTAAGCTTTTTACCGCCGTTGATCGTTGTAGTGTGAGAAAAAAGATATTCTAGAACTATCTGTTTACCAGTGCAGACAATTTGTTCCCTTTTTTTAAATGAATGGCAAAGCTGTTTCCAAGTTTTTCGGCGTTGAGAGGCTAATACAGAAAAGTTAAAAGGAGGTCATGAAAACTTATGAAGCAAATGACGTCAGAAGCTTCTCTTTCATTTCAATTTTGAATTCTGACCCATTCATCTTCTTTCAGGTCCTTCCACTTGCTGCGTGAAACTTTGAACTTTTAATAATACTTCAAGACATTGTTCTTCCCTTTTGATCTAATTCACCTGGTTAATTTGATAATTCTTTAGTTCTTCCGCTGTCAATTCTTTTGTCTTGATTATTATTATCTTTGCGATCACGCCTAAGGGAAGTAAGATCACGAAGGGGTTTCTTGAGCATGATTGTTTTTGAGACAGCGAGCCAAACAAAAGAATGCCAGACTTGGTTGTTGAGAATTAAGGCTGCTGAAATTCTCATTGGCTGAAGGCTTACTTCGACCTGCTGTTACGGCGGTTTAGAAGAACAATCAGTTCAATTTTAAGTTATTTTGATGCCAAGTGGTGGCTAGTGCGTGTTTGCGTGAGACTAACGTTTGGAATTTCTGTCTCTGATATACCAGCCATGTTATATCATAAAGTGCTATTCTTTTTCGCGATAACATCTTCAATCCATACAACATGTCGAGGTAAGGATAAATTGGCCGAAATGCTTCACCAAGAATGTTTTTCAGACGTGAAGCGTGTTTAACATTTGATGCTAGTTAATTAGAAATTGTTTTGAATTAAGTTCCACTGCGACTTGTTGAAGTAATTTTAGAGATTCGTTGAGTTACATGACCGACTTGAAATTACCTATTACTTGGGAATCCATCTTGCAATGATCAGCAGTGTTTCCGCTCGAACCGGCAAGCTGAATTGCAAGGTCCATATCGCTACTGCTGACCTCAGTCCATTATTTTGACTACATACAACAAAAAATACTCATTATCTAGCGGTTATTACAAGCTAATGCAAATTCAAACATATGTGAAGTTAAGCTTTATAAAGGCACTGCGGAATTAATAGGCCAGAAAATAACTTAAAAGATGTTACATTGTACGCCATAATTAATCTGAATCGTACAGCAGCGCTTTTAGCAAAACGCAAGGTTAGATTCCAAGTGATTTCGCTTTTTTGTTACTTAGTAACCAACATTGTTTAGTTTTCGTATCCAGTCAAATTTTGATCATACTATTTGAACTTTCTGTCATAAATTGTCGAATAACATGGTTTGGGCAAGGTCCCTAGCTCATCAAGAAATGGACTGTCACATCATCTTGTTATAGTAATGCTATGGTATTTTGTGGACAAAGTTTTTCGATCAAACAAGCAGATATTCCTTTTCCTCAAGCTAAAATCGGCCGAGTTGGATTAAGCAAGCGATAAAGTGAGTTGGTAATCCCTCATCCGACGAATGCGACGTGCCTTGCCTCTTAATTCAAGCTCAAGTCTAAATAAAAGTGCAAGTCCTTTGATCTAAAAAGTTTCAGTTTCAGCAGAGTGTTCCTCATAAATCAGTGTTCAGCTCTCTGTATCCTTTGTGAGTCACAACTTTCAAACAACAAAGATCAGTCATATATGTCATTTGTTTTTGTGGCTCAATCAGGATTGTGTAAATCAAGCCATAAAATAACATACGCCTTACCTGTTGTCTCCAAATTAATTTTTGATAGGGTTTAACATAAACGCACTAAAAGAACATAAACATCTGACAATAAAAAGCTGATCTACACTGATAAAGGAAAAAAAGGCCTTTAATACAGAAGTACGCAAAACACATCTTCGTATCTTTAATTACTGAATATGAGGAAACCATTCAGTTTCGTTCAAAACTGGACTTGCTTATTTCGCAAGCCTTAGACTAGAGCAAGTTTTAACAATGGCACACTCGTTTATTTTGATGCCGAACTCTAATGAATCAGTCTAAATTGATCCTGTACTGGGCTGTTCATGAGAAAGTTGCTCAATTTCATTTATTTTCCAGCATTTCAAAAATTATCTAATAGCAAAATCATAACAGATGGCATTCGCTAATCTAAAGGTCAAAATGAAGTTTTCTTAGAGGCAGCTTCCATAATTACTACTTCTCTGTTAGTGTACAAATGAGCACCAGAGATTTAAATGAGGCACTTGACCGTGCCGTAAGTATTTTGAATCTTTGTGGCTCATATGGGAAAGACTGATTAGTTTAACAGAATTTGCGGTGAGAAAAATGAGTGTTCTGTGAACAATGTTTAAAACATTTTCCTGCTGTTTGGCAATAACACCCTGCAGGCAGGCTCATAAGGAAGGTCGCATATCACATTTTTTTTTTTTTTACTGGGTTCATACCGCTCACTGGGAGAGCACGAAAGCCACGCAAGAAAAATAATTACAATACCAAAATTTCAAATCTGTTCTTGATAGAAAGAAAACAAACTTGCGTCACGTTTTTTCCTCTTCATGGCTTTAAGTTTAGACACTTTTAACCGCAGGAAAAATAGCAACAAAGCTTAGAATTAATTCCAACTTTCTGACACTTAGATCAACACGTTGATGTATTTAGGCGATGCAATTACGCAAACGAATGCGCGTTTATATCAAAACCAACACGTAACAATACAAAAGTTCTGATAAAACCATGGAGGGCAACCACACGGTCAAAAGTTTATTAAACAAACAACCAAACAAAAGGGTATAAATTGAAAAAAGAAACGTCTCGAAAAATGTAGCCAAAGGGGATATTTTTCATGTTATTATGATCGGAACACAATCACAATTCAAAAGCAGACCAGTGGTAGACAGCGATGAAGGCCTTCGGTTGCCACCCTACATGGCCAGTAGAGATTCAGTGGGAAGCGAGTGAATGCGCAGCGAGAAAATGTGTGAGTGAGTGAGTGAGTGAGTGGATCAGGGCGGGTAAGTAGATAAGCGAGTGTGTGAGTGAGTGAGTGGGTAGGTGGGTGGGTAACTGGATGAGTGAGTGAGTAAGTGAGTCAATGAGTGGGTGGGTGAGGGAGTGGGTGAGTGGGTGAGTGGGTGGGTGGGTAAGTGAGTGAGTGAGTGAGGGAGTGGGTGCGTGGGTGGATGAGTGAGTAAGTGGGTAGGTGGGTTGGTGGATGGGTGTGTGTGTGTGTTGTGTGTGTGTGTGTTGTGTGTGTGTGTGTGTGTGTGTGTGTGTGCGTGTGTGTGGGAGAGTGAGTTGGGGGGTGGGTTAGTGGATGAGTGAGTGAGTAGGTGAGTGAGGGAGGGATGGGAGAGTTAATGAAAGAGAGAAAATGAGTCAGAGTATGATTTTTTTCATAATACCAATGCTTTGCAATTCTTCTTCTCTTCAGGCCAGGCGCACCTCGATCCAGAGCATCGCCTCATGAATGATCTGTTTGCAAATTACAGTAAAGAAGTGAGACCTGTCGTTGACAAAGAACAACCGATACCGGTCAATTTTGACATGATGTTTAGTCAACTCGTTGAACTGGTATGTAATGCATAGCACATAGGTCAGTTTCATCGCTTAGACGCTGAATTATTTCTGGTATGCAATCGGATGGGAAAAAAGCTCAGAATACTCACGAATTCTGCACCCATTGTCAGACCTAATCGTTAAATATGCAACTTACCGTGGAGCACGAATATTACGAGGGAGTGACAATTGGCGCATTTGCAACTTTTTGTGTTTAGATATAGATATGACAAAAATTTTCTGTTGGAATTTATTTGAAGTTAGCTACACAATTTTGATACATCTTTCATTTCATTCGTTCTTAGAACGGACGGAGCCAGATAATGACCAGCAAGGTTTGGATTCGACAGGTAGGAAAAGACTTATTAGTATGCAATATAATTCTCGATTTAAAACCGATATTGATTTCATACCTATATTGCAAGAGAATATAAGTTTATATAAACTTATATTCTCTTGCACTAGATTTGTAACCTCATTGCACATTGATAAAAACAGAAGAAAGGAAATTAAAGAAGCTAGACTGACCGCACCAATGTACGATTGCTCTATAAAAAGAAGCTTTTCCGATTCTAGTCTAACAAGGGGCGACCTTGACACACTTGAGGGCGAGGCCACTCAGCTTAAGCGTGACGTGACTCGGGTGACATCGCAAGGGGGACATGACTTTCGTACATGGACCATTCCATTTCGATGTTACATGGTTATTTTTCAAGGTAGTCGTTTACTTTTCGTGTTTCAGTCTTGGGAAAATCCTTTTTTGAGGTGGAATCCTTCGGATTATGGTGGTGTGAAGTTCATCAACATTGACCCGAAACTTGTCTGGAAACCTGACATTGTTCTCTACAACAGGTAAACGATGTTTCCTTCGGCATCTATCGTGTTTTCTTCTTTTGTCAGTCATAATATTTATTTACTAACTCTAAAATGCAAGGGTTCTCCTTAAACGATGCCTGGGGGAGGAGAACTTGGAGAGACCGAAAAACGGCTATGATTACATGGTCTATATAGCTAAATATGTAAGATGACAACACTCTTCTTTGCTGACAAAAAATCCATGCTAAAAATGTTCTTTTTTTTTTTCCTTATTTTAGTATTCAGAGCGATAGTGGCGAGATGTACAAGTTTAACACCAAAGTCGTCATCAACGACAATGGTTCATGTCAGTGGTACGCCCCAACAGAGGTGAAAACAGTCTGCAAGATCGACATTACCTACTTCCCTTTTGACCAACAAAGGTGTAGTATGGTGTTTGGATCTTGGACCTACACCAGCTCTTCGTTAAACCTAAAGCTTTCCCGAAGAGAAGTCGATTTATCCAGCTACATTGCCAGCGGCGAATGGGACCTGATTTCTGCCGAGGCTGTACGTAACGTGGTGAAGTACACCTGCTGCCCTGATCCGTTCATTGACATAACCTACCATATGCTCCTTCGCAGAAGAGTTCTCTTCTACCTCAACAATTTACTCCTTCCCTGCGTCGCACTGGCGATTTTAACGGTGTTCGCGTTCTTCTTGCCGGTCGAATCCGGTGAGAGGATCTCACTAATTATCACAATTCTTCTGGGTTTGACGGTTTATTCACTCATCTTCACTGAAAACATTCCTTCTACTTCCGAAGTCACCCCGCTCCTGACCAAGTACTCCACCACTATCATGGCGCTCCTGGGCATGTCATTGGTTGTTTCATGTCTAGTGTTGTGGGTTTACCACCGAGATGCTTCAGCTGAAATGTCCAAAACCTTTGAATTCATCGTTTTCTCAGTTCTCTCTAGAATCCTAAGGAAGCCTCGGCCGGAGGAAACACCCAAAGATGGTTCAAAACGAAAGCATACTCCAGTGAGCGTAGTCGCCGACCGCTGGCCGACCTATTTTCCTGTGCAGAGGCGCGCTGCCTCAGAGAGTGGGAATTCTAGTCCCCAGTGTAAATCACCAAACGGTTCTGCGCAAGAATTCGTTTTCCCCACGCAACTGGAGCGCAAGTTCGATCAAGTTATCGCCAAGCTTGATGCCGTTGCGAACTCTTTAACAGTTGACCAAGGCGAAGAGGAAAAGAAAAAGAAATGGCAAACGGCTGCCCAAATCATTGACCAAATGTTCTTCTGGGTTTTTACAGTGATAGTTATCACAGTCACTGTTGTCATGTATTTCATGATCCCCAAATACGGTTAGACGGTGATATTCGAACTGGAGTTTAGCTAGATATTAACCGTTTTCACTCTAACATCAGTATAAATACTCTCCGTATTGTTCTCTACACATTTACTAAGGTGCTGACAAAGAGAATTTGAGAATTTCAGTTGGTGATGTTTTTATTATTATTATTATTATTATTATTATTATTATTATTATTCTCGTGACGTTAATGTTTGATTCAGAGTTGATATTGTGAAGAAAAGATAGGTGCTTGTCACTACTAGGTGCCAAAGGATTAAAAGAAATTAACTGCGGTCTATCACTAACGCCTGACCAGGAGTAAGGACCTGTCACCAAGTATCTTTCGACATTTAAGTTTTGATGTTTGTTTGAAAAAAAAAAAAAGAAAAAGAAAAAAAAAAGAATATATATTTTCTACTGGTTTAGCTTTGCTGAAAGTTATAGAGTTTTAGAGA